GGTGTTGCATTCATTGTCAAAAAGAACATATCCAGATCAGTCATAAGGTACAACGCTGTCTGTGATAGGATAATATCCATGAGCCTACAGGGAAGCCCAGTTAATACCACTATTATTCACATGTAAGCACCAACCACTAAAGCCAGTGAGGATGAAATAGAAGAATTCTACCAACTTCTTCAATCTGAAATTGATCAAACATGCAACAAGATGTATTGATCATTACTGGTGATTGGAATGCAAAGGTTGGGAGAAAGAAGAAGGATCAGTAGTTGGAAAACATGGCCTTGGTGATAGAAATCATGCTGGAGAGCGCATGATAGAATTCTGCAGAACCAAAGATTTGTTCATTTCAAATACCTTCTTTAGACAGCATAAGAGACTTTGGTGGGGTTGAACCACCGACCTTGTGGTTAGCTATGCAGTGCTTATCCTACAGCACCATGTCAGAATTTAAAGCCAAATATTTTTATATACACTCATACCCTTTCCCCTAGGAAATAATATAATGCCTTTATCACATTTTCCAAAAGGGAGAAGAATCAAAGCTACAATTAAAAATTGGCTCATTGGGAATCATCCATTAAGCAAATAATCCAAATCAGAACACAAAAATACTAAAGGATTTTTAAATACACATGGACCTCACCAGATGGAATACACAGAAATCAAATTGACTACATCTGCAGAAAGAGACAATGGAAAAGCTCCATATCAGCAGTGAAAACAAGGCCAGGGGCAGACTATAGATCAGACCATCAATTACTCATATGCAAATTCAAAACTGAAGCTGAAGAAAATGAAAGCAAGTCCATGATAGCCAAAATATGACTGTGAATATACCCCACCTAAATTTAGGGATCATCTGAAGAACAGATTTGATACATTAAACACTAAAGACTGAAGACCAGAAGAGTTATGGGATGCCATCAAGACCATCATAGATGAAGAAAGCAAAAGGTCATTAAGAAGACAAGAAAGAAGGAAAAGGTCAAAATGGATGTCCAAAGAGACACTGAAACTTGCTCTCCAGCATAGAGATACTAAAGCAAATGGAAGAAATGAGGAAATCCAAGAGCTGAACAGAAAATTTCAAAGATCAGCTCGAGAAGATAAAGCCAAAGATTACAATAAAATGTGCAAAAATCTGGAATCAGAAAACCAAAAAGGAAGAACATGCTAAGCATTTCTCAAGCTAGGGGAACTGAAGAAAAAATTCAAGCCTCAACTTTTGTATTGAAAGATTCTCTGGGCAAATTGTTGAATGATGCAGAAAGCATCAAGAGAAGATAGAAGGAATACACAGAGTCACTGTACCAAAAGGACATGGTTGATGTTCACCAATTTCAAGAGCCAATGATACTGAAGGAAGAAATCCAGGGTGCATTGAAGGAATTGACAAAGAACAAGGCACCAGGAATTGATAGAATCAAAATTGAAATCGTTCAAGAAAGTGAGGCAGCACAGGAGGCACTCACTCATCTCTGCCAAGAAATTTGGAAGACAACTACCTGGCTGACTGATTGAAAGAGATCCATATTTGGGCCTATTCAAAAGAGAGATGCGGAATGTGGAAATCATCAGACAATCTCTTTGATATCCCATGCAAGCAAAGTTTTACTAAAGGTAACACAGAAATGGCTGCAAGCATATATTGACAGAGAACTTTCAGAGGTTCAAGCTGGATTCAGAAAAGGCCATGGAATGAAGGCTATCATTGCTTATGTCCGATGGATCTTGGCTGAAAGCAGAGACTATCAGAAAGATGTTTACCTGGGCTTTATTGACTACACAAAGGTTTTAGGGTGTGTGGATCATGACAAGCTATGGACAACATTGCAAAGTATGAGTATTCCGGAACACTTAATTGTGCTCATGAGGAATCTGTACCTGGACCAAGAGGCAGTTTTTCGAACAGAACATTGGAACACTGAATGGTTTAAAATTACAAAAGGTGTGTGACAAGGTTGTATTCTTTCACCATACTTATTCAACCTGTATGCTGAGCAAATAATCTGAGTAGCTGGGTTAATTGAAGAAAAATGTGGCATCAGGATTGAAGGAAGACTCATTAACAAACTGTGATATGCAGATGATACAACCTGGCTTGCTGAAAGTGAAGAGGACTTGAAACATTTACTGATGAAGATCAAAGAGCACAGCCTTCAGTATGGATTGCATTTCAATGTAAAGAAAACAAAAATCCTCACCACTGGACCAATAAACAACGTTCTTATCAATGGAGAAAAGGTTGAAGTTGTCAAGGATTTCATTCTTCTTGGATCAACTATCAACACTCATGGAAGCAACAATCAATAAATCAAATGACATATTGCATTAGGCAAATCTGCTGTACAAGACCTTTTTAAAGTGTTGAAGAGCAAAGATGTCAGCTTGAGGACTAAGGAGCGCCTGACCCAAGTCATGGTATTTTCAATAACCTCATATGCATGCAAAAGCTGGACAGTGAATAAGGTGGACCGTAGAAGATTTGATGCTTTTGAGTTATGGTGTTGGAGGAGAATACTTGAAGTGCCATGGGCTGCCAAAAGAACTAATAGATCGGTTTTGGAAGAAGTGCAGCCAGAGTGTTCCTTGGAGGCCAGGATGGCCAAACTTGGTCTCTCATACTTCTGACATATTGTCAGAAGGGACCAGTCGCTGGAGAAGGGTATCATGTTTGGTAAGGGGGACGGTCAGAGAAAAAGAAGAAGACCCCCAACGAGATGGACTGGCCAAGTGGCAACATTGATGGACTCAAGCGTGGCAACAATAGTGAGGTTGGCCAAGAATCAGGCAGTATTTCCTTCTGCTGTATATAAGGTCGCTAAGAGTTGGTACTGACTCGATGGTACCTAACAACAACAACAATGTATGTATGTATATATTCATATTTATATATTATTGTTTGTTGTTATGTACCATTGAGTCTGTTCTGACCCACACTGATCCTGTATAGGATTCCGAGGAGTGACTGGCAGTACTTAACCTAATGGTGCCATATATCAGAGTTCTGGTATGGTGCTGGTATATATCTGGTGGTGGTGGTCTGCCCTAGAGTTGGTTCAGACTCATAGCCACCATGTATAGGGTTTCCAAGGCAGTAACTGTTTCTCCTGCAGAGCAGTTGGCAGGTTTGTACTAATGAGCTTGTGGTTAGCAGCCCAACTTGTCATCACTCTGTTACCAGGGCTCCTAGGGTGCTATTGCTCTCAGTGTTGTTATCTACAGACCACTCATTTAATGCTGACAAGATCCAACAAAAGGAGCTGTGTCCATTACCATGAGTGGTGACACTGACCATAGCTGGCAGGAGCTTAAGGCCATGTAATGCCACTCACCATGACGGTGAACTCAGTCTGCGCACGGATGGCATCCTTCAAGAACAGCAGCTTCTTTGAATCCTGTCAACATACCAGAGAGGGAGCACAGCAATCTTTAGGAGTCAGTTCAGTGAAAAACAGCAAAAGGAACTGGTCATGAGGGGCCAGACTTCTCTGGTGGACTCCTCAGGACTACACAGGACTTACTGAGGTGGCTGCCTTGTGGTCAGTCATGGCCTTCACAAAAGTCAGGGCTTCTGGAGTGGCTGACCGGATGTTGTCTACCCGCCCCTCCTGAAACCGGCGAATAGATGCACTCTCATAAGTAGATACCAGTCTCCCGTGGGATCTGAATGAGACAAAACAGGATTTACAAACAGTAATTTATTTCAGGTGAACCATAAATTCTGGAAGAAAAATGGTTACAGTAGGCTTTATTTCTACAGGCCTGACTTCCATTGGCATAGTATTTCATTTTGATGTTAATCTGATTCTAGAGATTTCCCAAAGATCAATGTTGGAAAGTATCTAATATGAAGAGCTGGGGCTGTGGAGATTTGTGATCCTGCATGGATATAACAAATTTTAAACGTGACTGGTAGCTTTGAAAAACTCCAGATCTAATAGGAAATTTGGGCTTTTCTGTGATAATCTGATGAGTGTCTGATTAATAGCATAGGATGTAATAATTACTTAAATAACCATTTACACCCTTGAGGAAGTTGTGTTTTATTTTTAAAAATTCAAGCACAGCCTATGTTTCCAGGCAGGAAGTGGTCTTAGTGGTTCCAGGATGTGAACTTCAGCCCATGCCCTTGACTCCAGTGTGTTAATTGTTTGAAGTACAAACACAGGCGTCCCCTACCTGTGAAGGTGACTTTGTTTGGAAATACGGTCTTTAAAGATGCTTAGCTTAAACTGAAGCTATACAGGACCTCATGTTGATTGTCAAGTGGCAGAATCCTCGCCTTGCATGTGAAACTTGGGCTGCCATTCCACCAATGTACTTCAGGCACTGACATTTCCCACCTGTCAGCGGAGGCTTGTGTGCTGCTAGGATGCTGAACAGGTTTCGGGAGAGTTTGCAGACAAAAGATGGGCTAGAAAGAAAGGCCTGGGATCTACTCCAGAAAAATCAACCAATGAAAATTTTAAAAGGGTTATGGGGATGGCACAGGACTGGACAGCATGTCTTTCCCTTGTGTTTAGGTTGTCAGGAATCAGAGCGGACTTGACAACAGCTAACAAACAACAACTTCAATATATTGGTGGAGGGTTGTTCCTAATCCAATCTGAGTGATGTCCTTATGAAATAGAAGAGACACAAAGACATGCACAGAGAGGTAGGACCAGCTTGTGAAGATGAACCTGAAGCTGAGAGCTGCCAGAAATTGGGAGAGACAAGAACAAGGATCTTCCCCAAATCCTCCAAACCTTCATGGCCTACTGCCACCCTGAATTTGGACCTCTAGCCTCTACAATGGTAAGATAACAAATTCCGATTGTTTTAAGTCACTCACTTAGTGGTACTTTGTTATGGCAACCCAGGGACAGTCACATTGCCAGCAGACTTCTGTGCACCAATTTTTCTCAACTGATTCCTGAGACGAGAACAGCAGCAACCTCCCCACTTGCAGCCTCTTTCCTTAGGCCCATGGGCTCAGCCTGCACTCATCTGCTTACACACTCCTTTCTTACAAGTCATAAAGTCCCTTGGTGTTGGAGGTGGGGAAGGGGAGTGTCGCAGAGCTCAGAGAGGGGCAGTGAGCACCCACTGTCACCCAGCATGTAGCACGTCCTGCCTCAGCATATCTCCCTGACATAGTAAGCTTCAGGACTGAGAGGTCACGTCTGATTTAGCACTGTACTGCCGCTGTTTTACTTGGTAGATGAATAAATAAACTGAATGAACATTTATGTCTGGTCTCTGGAAGACTCTGGCAGGGAACACTTTTCCTGTGCCTCATGGTTGCTAATGGTCCTTGATTAGTGCAAATTGTTAATGATGCTGGTATAGTTGTTAAGTGCCCTGTATAGGGTTGCCAAGGAGCAGGCGGTAGGTTTGAACCAGTGCTTATCCTGCAGCGCCACACCAGGACTCAGTAGTTAATGTATTCACTGCTAACTGAAAGGTTGGAGGTTCAAGTCTACCCAGCAGCAAAGGGCTGGTGATCTACTTCCCCCCAAATCAGTCATTGAAACCCTACGGGGCATAGCTCTGCTGTGACACACATGGGGTTGCCATGAGTCAAGATGAGCTTGATGGTAACAGGTTTGCTTTGATTTTTCAAGGTCCCTGAAGGCAAGTAGGACAGTGAAAACAAGAGGAGATGCTGCTGCAGGCTCCTTTTAGCTTCAAGGTCTCTGCCAAATCTAGGAACAAGTTAACAAATGTTTTGTTACAGCTTAGATTCTACAGGCTTTTCTCCAGGGGAAACAAATCATATGTTGGCTATTTCAAGAGCCCAGGAACCTTTGACCATGCTCAGACTGCACAGGCCACTGTGGGTAAAGGAAGGGGTGCTCTGGCCCAGATGCCCCAACCCCTCTCAGCTTTAGAATGAGCACTTACAGCTGAGGGGCCTGGGAAGCTGATCCAAGCAGTGTTCCCAATTGTGGCACCAGTAGGACCCTGACCTCATGGCCCATGTCAGTCACATGCCATCAGAAAGGCATTAACTGCAGCTGCAAGCTCAGGTCTTGTGTCATCTCACATACCAGTATAGCTTCAGCTTTTGTGTGATATCATTTGGGGTCTTATCAGCCTTCCCTAAGGGCTCTGCACGGGACTGCTCTGGACACACAGGTGTTGTTGCTCATTAGCGAGACATTTACTGCAAGTTCTCTATGTTGCCATGGATTTGGTAATTTCCTTGTTGGGCAAACTTATGCCAAACAATTTATGAGTGGTGGCTTTGGAAATCAGCCAAGCCACCCCTGCCTAGAGGAAGTTCTATTTTACATTTGGTTTTCATCACCTGCATTCCCTACCTCTGCCTTCATTTCTTGCCTCCCTGCTCTTCTCTCCCTCTTCCCCAACTCACAGCTACCACTACTGTGATTTTTCTGAATTGCAGACCTGACCCAGCCACTCCTTGTGGACTTCCCATTGAGTCATTTCATCTCTATGGCTCAACTGCTCTGTCTCTGAAGGCCTCCTCTGTGACATGAAAGTGAAGGCCCTGGAGACACAATGGTACTCAAGATGCCCAAAATGTCATGGTTGGGGAAGACAGTGGCCCCTCACCTTAATAGCAAATGCCTTGCGAGAAAAAGAAAACACCTTTGATGTGACAGAGCTGGGTGTCAAGAGAAGATTTGGTTGTTGCTTTAGATCAGGTTCTTCAGAAGGTTCTTTGAGGAGGTGGTACATGCACTGAGGCCTGACAGGTGAGAAGGGACTGACCAGGTGAAGAGAGGTAAGAACTGATGGATAGGCTGACTGAACAGTGAGTACAAGATCTTGGGGACTGAGAGAGGTGGGGGTGGAGGGCCCCCAGATGAGGGCAGGAAGGTGGCCGTGGCCAGCTGATAAGGGGCTTTTCCAAAGCATGGATTTTGTTCTGAGTAGCCACTGGAAGGTTTTAAGATGCTTAGTGATATATTCGGCTTTGCCTTTTTCAGAATTTGTTCTTACTGCTTGATGAAGATGGGGTTTTGGGGTAAGAGTGGAAGCACAGAGACCAGCTGGGAGAATGTTGCAGCTGAGCAAACATGAGATGTTAGTGGTTTTGGAGAGGCCCATGACAGTGAAGACCGAGAGGATAAATCAGATACGTTTTGGAGGAGAATGGACATGGAGTGAGAGAGGGGGAAAAACCAAGGATGAGTCCAAAGTCATTGACTTGCTCAACTGGATGAATCTGGTTCCATTTAGTTATGTTTGGAAAAACTGGGAAGGAACAGGTTATAGCTATAGGAGCAGGTGGGGTTGATAAGGTTGAAATCAAGATGAAGAGAAAACTCCTTAATCCAATTATTTGGGGTAGTGTAGTGGTTACGAATTGGGCTGCAAACCGCAAGGTCAGCAGTTTGAAGCTACCAGCTGTTCCGCGGGAGAAAGATGAGGCTTTCTGCTCCCGTAAAGATTTACAGCCTCAGAAACCCTGTACAGGGTCACTATGAGTCAGAACC